ATGCATCAGACATCAGGGGTAATGAAAGCAGGCTTTGGATATGTTTGGGCAGTTTGCAAGTGACCTTAGAAATAATGATGATTTATAATTATAATTATTGTTTCCCAAATTCTGGTGGCTGAATTTATGAATAAATAATGTAATGACAGTCATGAGCTTTGTGTGGAAGTGGAAGCCTCAATTCCTTTAAAATTTATCTGCTTTTTCCCAATGTGACTCTTGTTATCTGCCCACTGTTCTCTGTCTTTCATGGTCAGAGAGAGAAGTGCCTTGATGTTTTGAAGACAGTACTCTCATCTCTACACAAGGGAAGCTATTAGAATAAAACATTAAGAGAAGCTTGCATCTACTGTCTTTCAACACCAGTTTCTGTCTCACCTGGAAAAAATATGCATGTATACTTGTTAGCGTAAGAAAGAGGGAACAAGAACTGTTTGCAAGCTAATAAAGAGATTCCGCTTACTGGCACATTGCTGGCAAGAAGACATCTTTGCTTTAAAGTTTAATAACATATTATCTCCTCTACTAAGTTCTACCCATCTGTTGTCAAAACAAAGATGTTATTTGAAAAAAAAAATTCACAGTGAAGAAGCTTTCAAGGTTCTTTATGTGTGTTGAAATATGGTGCTTAGGTATTTGATAGCTCTACAGGCTCCTTGTTATGGATATTCTTTTACATTGTAAGCAATGCTCTTTCAACTGATAAAACATGGAAGAAAATCAACCAAACTGCAAAATAATAAAAGGAGGAAATAGTAGTATGTTTCCCTTCCGTTTGTAATGCTAAGGTACATAAGTTCTAGGCTTTGTTGCCTCCTTTGATTTTACATTAGTGCTGCCTTTTGGGATTAGATTTTTGATACAAACCTATTGCAGAGAGTGGCTTCTAGGGAAGTGAAGTTATTTTTGAGTACTTCGATGGGTGTTAATCCTTCTCTGCTCTGATGACCATTCAGGTCACCTGACTAGCATATGGATGCATATGTTCTTTTCCTAGAGGCCTTGAAGATTTTTACATCAACACGTTTTCACAATACAGAGGATTTTCTAGCAATCCTGGCCCTACAGCCTGTTTTAATTGGATGACTGTGGCCGTGTGCTGTGGCAAGCGAGCAGGAACAGATTGCTGAAGAACAAGGAAGCAGGACAGCTTGCTAAGTCAGTGCTGCCAGTAGTATTGAGAAAGTGTTGCTGCTCACAGCTAAAATGAATTTTCCTTTGACTCCATCCACATTGCCAGTCCACAAAGCACATGCCTGACTTTGCTCCCAAGCAGCCACACCATGACAGCATGAGTGATGAGCATATGTTTGTCCTCTGACAATAGTATCAGTCTTGCAGTATTTTAGGGCTGAGTTTAGGAAGACAGTGTCATTTAAAGGAGCACGTAGTGGAAGTGCGATGAATTATAAATTCTGTGAGATGTTTGACATGACAGAATTATTTGGCTGGGCTTTTAAGCCCTTTCCCAAACTCAGCTCAATAATCTCCTTCATTAAGCATGCATCTAATTTTCCAGTAGAGAATGTTTGTTCGAGACATGCTAGTGGCTCTGTGTAAAGCAGTGCAACTCTGTGTGAAGATCCCAGCTTGGATCTTGAAGGCCATATGGTTGATACTCAGAGGGTGTGTTTAGAAGATGCTGTGAAGAACATCTAAACCAATTAATTTTACTTTATAATTACATAGGCTAAAAGTTCACTGGATGAGTGGTAATTTGCTGAAATAACAATATTCAGTTATTTGCAATCATATGAGCATCGCTCCAGAACTTTGGGCTGCCCTGCACCATTGTGTTAGTTAATGTCCAGCTGCATTAAGACAAGAGTGATGGTTTCTGTGTCATACAACTTGGTCAGTGGTCTGTGGTGACTTATTTTAAGGTAGCACCTTCTTGTGAAAATTTGGTATTATCTCTATTAATGCACAAAAATTCTGTTGCACTAAAATCTTTGCCATGTGTGTAGTGGTTTTACTGCAACTATTGCAATTGTGTAAAAATATCTGACTGGGGCTGGAAATGCTGTTGTGATTCAGGAAATGGTTATTATCATGTGTCCTGTCTATTTAAGTTCTGGCCATTTTAAATATTTTGTATATATTTTCATTTTAGGGTGATACATTGAATACCAAATACCAGGTAGATCTTGGAGATGGCTTTAAGGCAATATATGTGAACCTTACGATGACTGGAGAACCCATCCGTCACCGCTATGAGAATCCTGGGATTTACCGAGTCTCGGTGAAGGCTGAGAATGTGGCTGGGCATGATGAGAGTGTGGTGTTCGTCCAAGTCAACTGTAAATCATCTCTTTGGTTTTCTTACTTTTGCTGCTGTGTAGAAAACCTCATGACAGCTATGAAGTCGTAAAGAAAATGACTAATCACAGTTAGAAAAAACAGATATTTTTCCAACAACATCATGCAGTCTTGCAGTGCTGTATGTTGTTAATGGAAAGGCTTGTAAACCTAATGTATTTGAAGGTCAGAGTTAGTTTTGTTTACATTTGGGAGGATAGTGTATTAATCTTTTAAATAGTAAGCATGCCTAGATTCAAATCTCGGGTTTGATCCATCTTCCTGACTCAAGACCCCATTGGCAGTCTTGGCAACTAAAATTTAACACTTCAAGCTATACCTCTTTCAAAGCTTCTAGGTGCTGTGTGAAGCAAGTGAACAGATGTGTTGAGAAACGTATGAGCTCTTGTATGGTTTCAAAAAAGAATCAAAACCTCAGTGTTTCTAAAAGTCAGACTACTTATTAAAGTACTAGAATCTAGGGTTTAGGTAGTTAATTCTCATAATGTTTTAAAGTGGTACTTAGGAATAACTTCATGTTGGCAGGCAGTATTGCTTGACTTAGACTTCTCTCCCTGTCCTTAATTAAGACCTAAAATACCCCATCAAATAGATTTAAAAGAAAAGAATAGCACAGCACAGGGAATATCATGCACCATTGCAAGCTTAATGTACCTCAGTCATCTCATAATTGAAATGAAGAAGGAAACTTGTAACTGGAACTGAATTTTCCCCTTCCTTTGAGATTCAAGACAGCTATTTCTTTGCCTGTTTTCAGATGTGTCAAAAAATCAGAAACAAGTAACATCAAAAGAAAAGATACTCATCTTGCATTCTCCAGGCGTCTTTTTCCCTCTGTTGTGAGTGGTGTGTCTTCTGTCCGAATCCCAAAGCAATGGGAATTACTGGAGCCACATACGAGGCTCTTCACAGATCTGTGTGCTTTATGTCAGCCTGTCTGGTGACTGCTGATATTTATGTATTTTGCTAGTCAGAGTCCTTGAGTCCAGAGTTTCCATTTCTGCTTTGATTAGCAGATGGAGCCCAACCCATTAATGCTAGTGGCCAATCTCCTATTAAAATCAAACAGAAAGGATCAGAATCGAATTTCCGCCTCAGATTCATTATCTGTTTCTTTGTTGTGTTGGTTTTTTATATCATCTGACAACTCCAGAGAGCTCAGTTAAATATCTTAGGGTTTCACCATTACTTTTTAGGAGCTTCTAGGTGCTGAAAAGTAGATTAAGCACAGGAAGAGTAGATCTGTACAAGCAATAAACAGCAATACACTCTGTGTAACATCCTTCTCTTTTGGGAGAAAAACTTAGAATCATAGAGTCATAGAATTGTTTAGATTGGAAAAGACCTTTAAGATCATCAAGTCTAACCATTAACCTGGCACTGCCAAGTCCACTTCTAAATCACGTCCCTAAGCGCCTCATCTACAAGTCTTTTAAATCCCTCCAGGGATGGTGACTCAACCACTTCCCTGGGCAGCCTGTTCCAGTGCTTGATAGCCCTTTCAGTGAAGAAATTCTTCCTAATGTCTAGGCACAACTTGAGGTCATTCTATCACTTTTGACTTGGGAGAAGGGACTGACCACCACCTCGCTGCAACCTTCTTTCAAGTAGTTGTAGAGAACAGTAAGGTCTCCCCTCAGCCTCCTTTTCTCCAGGTTAAACAACCTCAGCCGCTCCTTGTAAGACCTGTTCTCCAGACCCTTCACCAGCTTCATTGCCCTTCTCTGGACACACTCCAGCACCTCAGTGTCTTTCTTGTAGTGAGGGGCCCAAAACTGCACACAGGATTCGAGGTGCGGCCTCTACTTACCATTCAGAGAGTGATGAGCAGTAGCAAGCCCTGATGGAAAGTGGAACAATCACTTTCTCAAAATGTACTTCTGGTGTGGCCTAATCAGGATAAACAGTAAAAATAAAAGATGTTGATTGTGTTTTATGCAGTGGATTTATAAACTGCAGAAGCTGGAGGTATTTTTCACGACTAAAACGACTGATCCGTTAAGAGGACTTTGGTGCCGAAGGGCAGAGGCAGCAGAGCACTGACACAGATGTGGTCCATTGCTGAGCATGTCCATGGATGCTGTACATGGTCTAGAAGACTCATGGAACCATGTTAGCCAGCCTGCTTGAATAAATGCTTTCTGTGTCATTTGCTCTGTTTAATTTTTTAGGTAAATTACAAGATTTGAGTAAACTAGCTGGCATTAATTAAACTGCAACTTCTACATTCTACAGAAATACGAATAGCCATTCAGAGACATTTTTCACTGTGGAATACCATGAAAGCAGAAACATCCATGGATAGTCCTGCTTTCACTCTGTCTCCATCTGGTGTATTCTCAGGGAATTTTTTCAGGAACGAATGGTAAAGGGAATATTTTTTGCTCCTGCCAAATTCTGGGATGCCCTGTATTGCAGGACAATTGTATGAACTTTGGTCTGTCATCCAGATTATGCTTTCTGATCCAGATCATGCAATCTACAGCTTGCTAATGAACTGTAAGAGAAATGAGAGCAAGTCTGATAATATAAACATGAGTAGGTAGCCCAGAATAAAAAGAACTGAAGAAGAACTAGGCATACATTTTATTTTTTATGGAAGTATAATCTCTATAGTGTGTGAATAATCAGGGAGCTTTGAAAACTGTACTGAAATTGTAGCTTTGTTAAACAGAAATTATGTAAGTGAACGTCATTCATAATTGTATACACTTAAGGATGCTATGAAGCTTGTTCAAATGCATTATGGAATTATGTGACTGAGACAAGCAGAAGGACTCACAATAATTATCTTTAGCTTTTTAATATATAGGAATGGCAAACTTAAAATAACATTCAAATACCAAAACATCATTCAAATGCCAAACAACTTCCCTTCTGAAAATTTTGGAAAAGAAAGTAACCTTATTCAGGAGCAAAAGCATATCTCAAAATGATCAGTTTCCTCTGGGAAAAATGTATATTTATAGCAAAAGCAAAACAGTGATGCATATCCCTCCAGATTTCTTTAATTTGTCTCATCAGAAGGAAAATCAGTTTCTAGGAGGAAAAAAATTAATAGATTTCCTACAATTTCTGAATTTTCCTCAAGACACCAGGAACAGGAGGAGCATTTTAACTCTGTTTCAGTAAAGAAGCCATTAAAGAAACCATCTGTTTAAGCACTCAACACTTCTTGAATTCATGTAGGTAGTTAAAGAGTCTGGAGAAAACGCAGAACGAAATTAGAGCCTTACATTCGGATGGAGCAGCACACAGGCTGGATGAAGTGAGGTGGAAAAGGAGGATGTGCACAGCTCGGAGAACTTGGTCTCAGAGAAGTTCGATGAGCTTAGTCAAAATGAATGGGTAATGGTTCAGTTCATGAAAGAGAGTAAAAGACCTTGGACTGGTGTTAATTACCTTCAAGTTTGCACTGAGATGAAAGACCTTTGAATGACTTAAAAGACATTTAGAATGGACAAAAGCGGGTTGGTTAGTATTCGTTCTTTTAATGAATGCATGTTGGACCATACAGTGGTTTGGTATCCTGGATAGATGGTGCAGCTGAAGTTAAGAAATTCTAGTTATCACATTATACTATTATAAAGATTTTACATTCAGACATTCTGAAAAAGATATACTTGGAAACCTCTGAGGGAAAGGTTTTCTTTCAATAAACTTGCTGTACTATGAAGCAAAATACAACATTAAGAAGCAGATAAAATCATTGTAAAGATGTGTTTATTTTATACAAATAATAATGCTTACAGCCTTCATAGACAAAAGTTAAGAAAGGACTAAACTTACTCTAAGACACGTTTTGGAGTACAGAGGTTATCTTTTGCAATTTGTAAATAAATACCCTGATGTACACATCTATTTTAAATCATCCATTAATGAGAGTTTATGTGTGGTGCGAGCTTAATAGCTGATATTTTCTAACAATAATGAGTACAATGACATTCTTTTTCAGTTCTCTGCTTTTCCCTTAGCAGTTTAAGATTTGTTAGATGTCTATTTATCTGATCTTTTATTACTTAAAAAAAAAAAAAAAGCTGAGATTGCCTTTTCCACTTTTTAAATGGGATATTTACTTATGTTTTCTAGAATTAGACAGGAACGGGAAAAGTGCATCAGAGAGGTGCACTTTGGTTATCCATCTCATTGTTCTAGGATTTTGTTTGTGGGGTTTATTTGTTGGGGGTGGGGTGAGGGGACGGGTGGTTGGGTTTCTTTTGGCGGGGTGTGGGGGGGGTTGTCAGTTGAAATGAGGTCCTTCCAATTATGCCTGTAGTTTTCAACACAGATGTGAAAGCAGGAGGGAGAAAAAATAAATTCAGGACCTTATGATGTGCAGGTGAGAAGTTTTCAGGGAAAGAATAAATTGATGTATACTTTGTTCAGCTCCACTGCAGGCTTTAAATTTAGAAGTGGTTCCAGTCATTGGAAGAAACCAGGAGGTGAACCTGACAGCCATCATACTGCCTAAGAACCCTAATTTGACAGTCTTTTACTGGTGGATAGGAAACAATCTTCAGGTACATGAATGGTTTTGACTGAGATTATTTTCAGTCTCTTTCCAGTAAAGGCTGAGTGACACCTTTTACTTTAATAGAAATACTACCATGTTGCATGACTTCATTTAGACCATCTTTCATTCCATATAGCTGGTTATATCTGGTGGCAAGCTGTAGCTAACGTCTCCTGTTTTATCACATGCGTTTAAGATGTTAATTTCCCTTTATTGCTACTTGCTAGAAATGGAAATTCTCTTCTAGAGCTGGTTTGAATTTCTAAACAATTTTCTTTGGGGGGGAACAACAATTTATTCTATTTACCTGGGGAAAAGAAAAACTTGTGGAGTGGGATGCATTTGGGATCATTGCATTGGTGAATGATGAAAACTAGATTTATGCACTTCCATGTTGATTATATGAGGACTGTAAATTTGTGTGCTGTATAGAGATATGTATATTCATTGTATAGATAAATATTTTCTGGGATTCTAAAATAAACTGGCATATCAAAAATAACTGGGATATCTAAAAGGATATCAAAACAATGAGAGCACTCAAACAAGCTAGTGATATTCATTTGGGGATAGAAGTTCTAGATAAACATATCCTAGAGCAATAAATATCCAAGTATTTCTATCGAGAATATTTCTTGTCTAGCTGAGTTAATTTATTTTAGGTAATTCCTTCAGAAACAGATAAGTAAGATTTTTTCTTTATGGGGCAGACCAAGTGTGACAGAGGAATGCTTCAGATAAGCACAATGAACTTTTGTCTTGTAAATGTGCTGTCTACCATAATCCCACCTTGTATCTGTTCATTATTATTGACTTTGCCATTGCTAGAACAGGCACTGCAGGTGGATGTAGTCTTGTGAAGGGTTTTGTAATTCATGTGGATATGATCAGGGAACAGAGTATCTCAGCTCCACCTCAGAGGTTTTGGTGGACAGATGCACTTCCATGGGTCATGCTCGAAGTCAACAGAATTAATCCTTTTGACCCTGACATATCCTACGTTTGTTTAGGTAAATGACTTGCTACGTATGATCTTGCAGAGATTGTGGAGGCTGCCTCAGAACCCATTTATTTCAGTGGGATCTGAATAAAAACCTGATGCTCTACCAGTTATTCTAAAAGAAGTGCTTGCCCCATCTGGCAGCTATTCTTTTTATAAAGGATCCATTTAGGAATAGAAACATCCTGTATTGACAATTCTAATTGAATAGTTTGATGAAATGTTGATTAATTGAATAATTGATGTAAAACCTTTTTTGTTAATATTTTTAATGACGGTCTCTTCAGACTCTGTTCTCATGATTCTCGCTGAAATTCTATTTTTGACTTTTCTTTGTTTTTTAAAGCCACTCCTTACATTGGAGAGTTTTCTGGTGACAAAGTTTGCTGAGACAGGTGACATCAGAGTTACAGTGCAAGCTTCCTGTGGGAGCTCCATGCTTCAGGACTCAAAAGTTGTCCATGTTTTTGGTGAGACATTACTCTTGTTAGATTTTTGTTTGTTTGTTTGTTTCATGTGTACTTGTTTCTTACACCTCTTAAACCAGCCCTGACACAACTGAACCTGTTGTAAAATTATATCTAATGCCACATTTAATTCTTAAAATTAGAAGGGTGAACTGTCACTAGGTAACTCCACGGAATTAAATACTGTGATTGTATGGAAGGGTTTAATCTGAAAGGTTTTGTTTTCTTTGGTCATTGTAAATGTTACTGTGGTTTCAAAATGCTAGATGTAGCGATAGTGTTGAAGTAGCATTTTGGCCAATGACTAGGAAGTTTCTTAGAATTTCTAAATAAAGTATTTTAAATACCTCTGAAAAAAAGAAAATTTAGTTGTGTATATGCTGTCAGCATTAAAACCAATGTGAAATAATTGCCTTTTATCACAATATATCACTGTTCCTTTGATGTTTATCTAAGAGTTTGGATCAAGTCCAGCTCCACTGTAATTATTGAGTAGCCCCTCAGCTCTTGTTTCACATTGTGCGCTGGTGTGTTTTGTTGTGCCTTATAATCTGGTGACAAGGCATAATATACTGTGAAAAATGTAGTGCCAACAAATTGTTTTCATTTGTATTTGTGCTGTCACATGTGGGAATTGTGATAAGTGAAAGAGCTTCTTTTTAATGCGAGCTAAAAGCCTTCTGATATCATGAAATACACAACATGATGCATCTCTATTGTATGAAGAAGATTCTGTTATTTTTGCCTTTAGTATACTTACTAATTTAAAATAATGGTGAAAACCAGACTCATGCTAAGTGGAGCTTTATGAACCTTCTTCTTTCCTAAAACAGATGGATTTAACTTTATGCTACCACTTATAAGTGCATCCACTTTTTTTAGAAATCTTTAGAAGTATAACCCTCTTAGTGTGACTAGATCAATGACTTTGGCTTTCCAGCGCTTCTTCTGCTCTTAGTGTCGGCCAATCATGATACCAAGAACAAGGAAGTACTGGCCATAAGGGAAATAAAGAAAGCTTTGGAAAAGAAAACCACATTAAAATACAATTCTGTTGGAAGTGTTGGGGAGGCCAGGTTTGACTCATGCATTCCAGAGGATCTCTTTCTCTGCTTTGCATTAAGTTCCCCAGGTGTTCATCGAAGGAGCCTACATGGAGAAAGGGAAGATTTTAAAGACTGTTTTCTGAGGAACAGCCCATTTCTAGTATTTCAGATATTCTTGACAATATCCAGAGAAATGTTGTGGGTGTATGTTGTTTTTATTTTTCAAAGAGGGCAGTAGTTAGGCTTTGTCATACCATTTCTGTTCTTATTTTCATAGCTAGTTTGGGGAGTATATGAAGTTTTCAATTTTACATGAAAAACAGAAACATATAGTGGGAAAAATCCATATGTTTATGATTCAGTGAGAATAAAATCCATTGGCGCATTCCCGTTACAAATAAAACAAACTAACCATGTCTGTGTGGTGTATTGTCCTAAGGAAAATTTATTGGGAAGGTTATGACTACAGAGCACATATGTAAATCTGCTTTGTTTATTTTTTTTGCTTTTGGCTTTTTTATCTTTAGGCACAAATTTGATGATGTTGATGAAAATGCAAAAAGAAATTGAGTGCCTGACAGGAGTATGCTCTTATTCCATGCAAGAGTACGCAACACAGAGCAGTGGGCTTCCTAAATACTGCAGCACTGCACAGCAAATAATGCCAAATATATATTTTCAGCTTTTATTTCTACAAAACTGTTTTTGCAGCCTGGTTTGTTACCTGTTCAAAAATGTTTCTTTTTTTGGTTTTCTAGATCATTTTCATGTTCTTCCTCTGAAGTTTACTAAGCACCTGGACACGTACAACCCTGACATACTGGACTGGAGGGAAGATATAGGGCGGGTAGTAACACGACTTCTTGCAAAGGTGCTCTTTCAGATTACTCGTAAAATGTTCCCTTGCCGGTCATAAAGCTTGAAGGTTAAGTTAGTGGCTTCTCATTTAGAAAAAAGGAGGCAGAGCAAAATAATAAAGTGAACCTCATGAGCCACATTTCAAGCAAGTTTGAGCCTTGTGTCGCTTTTACGTGCAGGTTGTAGGCAACAATATTGTAACACAGACAGTTTAGGTCTAACACAGCCTAATGGGCAATTAATGCTAAATATTGCTCTCTGGGATTAGGGATAGACATATTGGCAAATACTGCTGACTGCAAAACAGGAAGAGTAGCTTAAATGTGATATATTTAGCAGTTAAGCAAAGGATGCTGTGTAATATAAAAGACATAGTCTTTGTGTAAAAACAAAGCAGAAAGAAAGAATTCACAATGCCAGTTGTGTAACTTTTGAAATATGTGTAATATATAGGCACACAGTTCGTACAGCTGGTTCTTTAGATCATGTTCACAAAAGAAATGTGGACTGTGAGCAGCTGAATCCTATAGGTTAAATCAAGTACAAAGCCATGCAGCAGTACTGAGATAAGTAAAGAGCACCCATGAAAACCGAGAGCTCTAGAGCTGTGCTCTTCAGGTACACACACTCCCAGCAACTGAGTGTGCACACACTGACTTTTGTGAGGGCAATAGCACTGAGGTGCAGGTTGATAGTCTTTTTAAAGTAGTTGTATGTGAAATCACTTGACTTTTCCTGGATTTGCAGTAGTGCCAAGCAGGTTCTGGAATTTTTGCTTCATACCATTTTCTGTCCTTTTTTTAAGGTTCATATCAAATGTCAAATTAAAGGATTTTCCCAGTTCTATCAACTTAAACCCATCCCATAACCAGTGTCAGTCAAACAAATATTTTACTCCCTTATAAAATAGCCCTTGCATTTTAGTAAGTACTAAAACATTTGCAAAAGAATGTGCATGATTGAATGGAATTTCAGAATCTGTTTGAGAAAGGCTCCAGGAAGTGCCCAGGGTGTTGTCATTAGAACTCTATGGCTGAATATACAACACATGGAGCAATTTGGGACTCAAAGCAAAATTTGCACAAACTATTTTGAAAAGGGATGCACTTGATTTTCAGTGGGGGATGCAGGTATTCATTACAATTTCAGGAACTGAACCTAAATGCTCTTGGTCTCACCCTAGAAGGCTTCTCTCTGTCCATTAAACACAGATGGAAAAGTAGCCTCCCTGAGCTAAAGTCATCTGTAATGAATATGCCCTTTTAAGCCTACTAAGTGTCTGAATGGCCCACAAAGGATCCTAAATCACTTAGGATTTTTTTATGTTACCCTAGAAATGCACAACCACAGCAGAGTTTTGCTAAAACTGCATACCACTTCATTTTGCTTCTTTCCACGATGCCACTAAATCGCTTTAATGCGATAACAGTGCTTAGCTCTTTCAATCTTCAAAGAGCAGCTCACATTTCAGTTAATTTATGTTTGCCTTTGTTCATGTTTTAGCTTCTGGTGGAATCCCCTCTAAATATTAAGGATCTGAACACCAAAGACTAAAAGACACATGTGGAGTTAGTTATGTATTTTCTATAAAATATAAAGCACACTGTCCTATAATTTGCTGTGTGCCTTTGTCTTCACAGGAAACCAATATACCCGAAGAAACACTTATGACAGTAGTGAAACCTGGTCTGCCCACAACTGCTGACTTGCATGTGCTACTACCAGCAAACCAACCAAAAAGGAAGAGAAGTATAACTAGTGATAAGGTAACCAGAAGAATGTATGTCTGGTTAGGGCAGTCTTCATCCTGTTTTGCAATCAGTGGCTCTACTCTCATTGTCATTAGGTGAAATTAAAAGGTGCTCCCTAACTATGTGAAGATCTCACACCCACCTGACAAGAGACATATAAAAGCTAGCCACAGCTGTGGCTGCGCTGTTTGACAGCGTATAGACCAGCGTAATCTAGTGCTTACTTGTATTAGTGTATTTCTTGAGAATAACTAATACCGATCTGTTTTTTAAACAGAAACAACAGTGATGGCATGTCAGTCTGTAAGATCCAGTAGAGCAAAGAGTGTATTTAGAACACTGATATTTCTAAAGAGGGACGAACCATCTCTTCACTGTCTTCAGAAGCAAATTAGATTTCAGGTCAAACAGAAACAGAACCTTAATAGTTGACCTATAAAGTAAAGAGCATCAGGCAGGTAACTTCTGCCTTTATGAGCAAATGTCCTTTTCAATTGGCAAGAAACAAATATAGTGAACCCAGGAATGAAAATCAGACATTAGTTTCTCCCTACTTATTTCCAAACAGTATTTCTTCCATAATAAAAGACCTTATGCCAGTTGAAAATCAGAAGACTGGCATTTATAATTAATGTTCTTCATACTTTTGCTGTGATAGAAAAGGAACAGCTCCCAAAACCGTGCATGTGTTTTGCAGTTCAAGTCTTGCCAGTTGCAAAGAACCCCAATGTAAGATATTGTTAATTTTGAAGGGCATTTTACAGCTTTCTGAGACAAGGTCACAGTATCCAAAGAGCTGGAGAAGGACGTAAGATGAAACTCTTCTTATTAACACAAACCCAGTAGATTGTATTTGGAATTGATGGGGTACACTTTGGAAGGTCCAAAGGAGTATGTTGATGTTGTTGAAGTACTTGAACAGGTGTCGTACTTTAAAATGCACAGGGTACAGTGTGAATGCACAAAATTTTCTGCTTTGTGGCAACCCCAAACTCTTATGGCTTTCCCTCTGTAATCGCATGAGGTATTCCTGGGAGTTGAAATCCTGACTACATTGCAGGAAACGGTTTTTAACAGGTTGTTTCTTTAGTAGAGAGCCACTTATGAACTATGGCTCTAAAAGGTGAGTATTACCACTTCAAAATTATTTGCGTCTTTCCATTTCTTGAAGAAGTAAGGTGCAGCTTCTAAAGGAAATTCTTTCTCTTTCTTCTGATCATATATGGAATGGGTCTCTTTAATAGTTTAAGGAAATTGATGGTGATAGGTTCATAGTTTATGCAAACATTTTATTTCAGTGCAAAGTGTTATGCATATTACTTCCCTTTAAGTCTCAACTGTTATATTGCTGCAGTGCTTCAAGGCAGCTTAGAGAATATCATCAATTATAATCAGTGCTGTCTCAAGGCTTTTTTCATGTTTGTCTGTGAAATATCTTGTGAGCTACTCCAAAACATAAAGAAGAACAATCATATGTTGCAATTTATTTGGGAAAACTTCTGTTTGGTGGGGCTATGGGGCAATTACAGTAGTTCAGTAGGGCACAGTTTCTGTAACAAGTAGTCCTCCAGTAAGACCTTGCAAAGGTTTTCTGAAACTAGAGGAGTACTGAAAGGTGAAAGTAATTGTATAATCTGGAGAATAGATGTACATTTCTGGCACTATTAGGATGGACCAGGCCAGAGGAGTGATTGTTGGGGATTACATGTATGGAAATACCAAATACAGTACAACCTACGTTTGGTTGGAGCAGGAACAAAGGGAGACAGCAATTGCAACAGCCTATGCTATCCAATGATAAGAAATCAGGTGCACTAGTATCATTTCAACACTGATTGTTTTATAGAGTATTGTGCTGTAGAGCCAGACTTCAAGTGCTAGCTGCCTAAATTTCTGTTTGTATATTATTGCTTAGGGACACTACTTTAGCTATTGATATGTGCATAAAAATTTGTTAATTTAGAATTGAATGGCACAAATTTTGATAAAATACGTGTAGTATCAGAATCCATTGTGACTTGAGAAATATCCTGAAAATATACCCTATGTAAATAAATCTAGAAGCAGAGTCAACAGGAAAATACTCATGGTGTCACTTGCTTAAAGATTGTTACATTCTTTTCTGTTACCAGAAGAGGATCTTGAAGGTCTCCATCATATTTCACTGGAAGGATGTACTTTGTTATGCTGCTAGTGCCAATTCTCAAAGTCAGTATTGTGACACTGTTGTGAGGACACACCAAGGCAGAAAGTTTTCTGCATATTTAGAGGAAGTCTGAAATCCTTAACTCAGACATAGTTATGAAAAGTCTTCCATTAAAGAGAACCTATTTGTTCTTGGCTGAAAACCTTTTAGATTTGGGATATTACATGATTTTAAAGGGTTGTTAAAGGTAATCATTAATTGGTCAGGCAGAGAACACCTTGATGGAGTTTTGGTGTTTTACATGAAGTGTTGTGATATGATGCTATTTATTAAGTTAGCGGTCTAGAATAGGAGTAATTACTGATAAAAGTAGCCAGCAATTACAAAGATCCTAAGTGACTTGGCAGTGTAGTAGTAGGACCACTTTGGATAATTCTGAAATTTGGTTCCATTCTGACAAAAAAAAACTTTTTCTTTCAAATTTATGCATGTAGAAATAAAAACTGAGTGTGATTTAACCTGGTTTTGAGAACATGGCAATTTCAGAAGTATTTCATTCTAATCATTGACTCTAGAAGAGGACTCGTTTGCTTAATTTATGCATATCTATTACATGTCTAATGTCAGGTGGGATAAGTCCAGTTGAAAGAGTCAGTTGAAGTGCATTTAAACTATAGCCTGGAGAGCAGTGGCTCTGAGGAATATTTGGACAACTATCTAGACAAACTACTATATGAAAATTCCCGGTGAGTTGGCAAAAAGGGCAAGTCAGACCCCCAGATGTGTAAGTGGGAAAATAGTGTCATTTTTGCATTCTTATACCACAATACAGGAACCTTTGTGTTCACATGTTCAAATATTATCATTGGAACGGATGTAGAAAAAGAAGGTAGAAAATTCAGATGCCAGTATAAAAACCTTAACTTGGAGTGTCTAGGGAGGAGCTCCAAACACTGGATTTGTCTTTTAAAAAGTTGGAGAGGTGGCAGCACTGTGCTCAATAAATACATTGGGGCAGAAAAAAAACACCTCATGAATACTGAAACAACCATCAATCTAACAGTGAAATAAATAAACCAGAACCTTTGGCTGGATTCACATGAGATTCAAATTTTTGACCTGTGAAAGTGTAGTTCGTATAGGTTTGGATGGGAACCCAGGAGCGGAGAGGGAAATAACAAACAAGTGTTAGTCACTTAAGGAAAAAACAGAGCAAATGTTGGATTCCTCAAACACCTGCCAGGAAAATATGCTGTGTCCAAAGTTACAGGGCTCAGTAATTTTATTTACTGGCTGAAAGTCAGCTTAGCCTAAAGTACTAGTCCCTCTTGCATTGTATACCACGAACATGTGAATGAACATGGACTGAGATGAAGTAACTCTATTTCAGTGGTGCCAGCATCACTTTAAAGGCTGTTAATCAATATAGGTGTCATATCCATTCTCTTTTCAACCTTTGGGCAAAAAGATAAATACTTAGGAGTTATCTGGACTAATTGTCTTGTAAAATAACTGAGGCCATGTGCACACCACCCTTATGTTAATTCATTCCTGCACAAAAACTGCAGTAAAGTCAGTGGAATGGCTTCAGAAGTTAGATATTCCTCAATGTGAGTGAGGATATTTGAATCTGAACTTTTGTGTAATCTCTGTCCATAACATGAGAGAGACTAGAGGCATTTCTATCTATTATGCTGCAAAGGCTTTCAAAGATGAGCACTGTAATTGATAATATCATAAAAGGAGTTACTCATGAAGGTTTCACGAATATAAAGCGTTTTTCTAATTTGGCATCTTGTGGGAAGTCATATCCTAAATTATAAGGCATAGAGTACAAAACTAGCTTTGATCTTTTGGAAAATTACCCATGTTGAAGACACGAGTAGAAGGGAAAATTCAGACAATTTGTCATCTGGGGTTAGGATATGATGGTATATTTAATGGTTCTGCTCCATAAAAATGTGAGAGACCATATTTTATTGTGCTCTATCCACTGGAGAAAAATATGAGGAATCCTGATTTTTTTCCGCATGGATGGATGTATATATTTCTACAGAGAATTGTTAAAAATTGGGTATAAATGGAATCCATCCCATTATAGGTAAGGAGGTGAGGTAAATTATGACATGCAGTTCATTATCAAATAGCAGTTACTTTTCATAGCAAGAAATCTAAAGCAGCATTGCAGGTTTTCTTCTGATAGGTTAGAAGAATGGAGAGTTTTTAATATGGATTTTGCATTGTGTGAGTTATGACCCAGGTAAACCCAATAGCGCATGCAAATGACATGCTGTCTATCACATACTGGGTAAACGTAAAGGCTTTGGTTAGCAGAAAGAAAGATTTGGCTACAAAGATTTTACATTTTCAGCTTTTATGGCTCATGGAGTTTTGCATGATTTTTAAAAATGGAATTTCTTTAAGATTTCAGCTCATTGTTGACAAATGCTTTCTGAGTTTCTCACCATTTAATGAACCAGAGGTTTTCCTTTTTAAAGCATTGAGTGTCTCAAAGTGGAACGGAGTGTGAGATGTCTGACATTCTCTTTGCTGTCTTTTCAGAGAATAGCGGCTATAAAGCAGGCCTTGAATGCCCACAACATCAGTTTCTTTCTGAGGGGAGGATACTGGGTCTTAGTGACTTTAGCTGACTCCGGTTCAGGTAAATATATAAACAGAGCTCCCAACAGACCAACCTTTGGATGCCTATCTGAGTTCCGATAACTTAAGGAGAAAATCTTCCTATCAATATAGATGTGTACATACACACACACACATATGTATATACACACATACACTTACTTGGTACTTGTTACATATAGATACACACATAAATATACGTGTATATATATGTAAATATATATACTATTGCATGCACACATATATATATATTTCCTACATGTTTCCATATTGTCATACCTCATTATTTGTTTCATAAGGTTCTTGCTTTTTTCTGTGTAACCATGACATTAACTAAATATCTACATTATACAAAACAGTGCTCTGTAGGAAGAGCCAACCAGGCTTCAAAAAAAACGTCTGGTGAAACACTTTGGCTGCACTGGCTGCCGAGAAAGCAGTTTCTTTACTTCAACCATTAACTTTGTAGATATAACTCCAGGGGTCTGGGACATAGCCTCGTGTCACTGCCTTGTATCTCTGATCTTCAGATCAACTGGCGTGAAGCTTGCTTAGGGTGTCCACATTGCTGATCCTGTCCTGAGATAAATTATATGCTTTTTCTGTGTTTAAAACAAATGGAAGAAGTTTTTTTTTGCATGCATTTCCTGCATCTCTGGATTCACTATGTATCTGGAAACTGATTGGAGAGACTATGTGTGCTTACATGTGTGTGTATTTTGAACAGAGATATGTTAAAATGTTTTAATCAGAAAGTTCAGCTTTGACATGAGCCTTGTATTAGAATGTCCTGTATTTTTTGTTTGTGTATCGTATTCCATAATATATCCTCCTTTCTTATTTCAGTGTGTTGTGGGAGAACAGCTTAGCTGACCACAATCAATTTATGTAAATATTGATATGATATTTTATCTGTCAGCTGTCTGTAGAAGACAAAGCTCTTTGGTCTAGTCTCTAATGTAGAATCATGCTACAGTTTTGCTGTGGTACCTAATTTGGTTGGAAGGGCTAACATTTGTTGGCCAGCACAAATGGTCAGGATTGAAAGAAGCCCATATCCATTCCAGCCTTTAACAACGTATGACCTTGATGAGTTCATTTGTTGTTCAGAGCTTTAGTTTCTCCACCTGTGAAATTAATACAGCCCTGCTTTTGCAACACATGTATTTAGGATATGTGATCATTTCCTATGATGACTTTGGATTCTCAGAAAAAAAAAAACCAAAACAAACTGTGAGAGTGCAAATAGTTAAATATTCAGGGGTTTGGGTTTTTTAAATTTTTAACTGTCCTCTGTCGTTCAGTCACAAGGCACCAATTAATTTTGTGTTGTTGCTTTTTTAAAGAGGCTACAGATGGAGTGAAAATAAGAGGTTAGACAAAGAACAAAAAATGGTTTTGACCTGACAATTAAATAGAAAAGAAGGCCCAGGAATGTGACTGATCTGGAAGAGGATGTGCTAAGCTGTTCTTTTATTTCGTATTTCAGACTCTCAGAGGATTGGAGGAGGCAGTGGCTACTGGGCTATTGTGGTTCTCTTTGTTATCTGTCTAGTTGCAGTTGGGGCTATCATCCTCTACAAGTTCAAAAGGCAAGTAAACCTTAATCAAAAACATATACATTTTAAGAATTAGATTTATCCACAGATCAGCAAAACAGAGTTTGCTATTTGGAAAGGAGATCTCTTGAAGAAAGGCTGAAAAGTCCACAGATTTGAAAATCGTGTTTTTCTGAACTTTTCAGACATCAAGGTACTACACTGAAGCTTGCTTTCACTTACTGCCTTCCAAGATAAATAGCAGCAATAGGAAACTATGCAGAGTTTGTTCAGCTTGTCTAAATAATATCATCAAGAAAGAGAGCTGAGATAAAATATAATTCCTGATTAATTCCTACCTCATTACTGCTAGCAGTTGTGAATAAACTAAAGCTATCGGAACAATGAGTGCATCTGCAATGCTGATTTGCTTAAAGTAGTTTTATCAAAACGCTTAGCGCTCTGGAGTTTCTCTTTGAGCACATTACATTTTAATTGCTGGGGCGATGCCACATAGAATGAGTGGTAGAAATAGATTAGTGTTAATTTGACACTAGAGTGTGTTGAGGGGAGAAATAATTCTGAAAATGTCCTTTATGAGAGACATGTTCTCAAAATTGACAGGGAATACCATGCCAGCCTTTGACGGTCTGGGAGGTCTTTAGTCTGCAATTTGTTTTAATCATAGCTACTAGGGTGCTGTGGAATTTAAAGAATTTTGTTCTTATTGATGTGTTTCTGTAGTCATTGGTTGTGCTTTTGTTATTTTTGTATCTCTGGGACATTTAATTTGACCATGTTGGAAACAAGCCTTCATCATCATCAAATTCTGATGTCCTTACTTAGTGAGGATTCCTGTTGATTTATCTCATTGTTTAAAGATTGATTTTTATTTGAAATAAACATAAGTTTATAGAAATGGGTGCAGCAGTGAGTTTGTGATAGCAGTAAGTGTAGACAGCATTTAAGAAAGAGTTTGTTTAGAAAAAAAAAACATTAAGTCAATAGAGAAAAACCCTTTTTTCCAAGGATGTCTTAATTGTCTCACTTCTCTGTTTCTTAGAGCTCATAGTGGCTGATTACTCTAAAGCACAAAACCCAGAATGCTGTATCGGACTGTCTACAACTGAATAAAAATCCATTTTGCTATTTTAGGTGCCTGCAGCAAGGAAAAGCATAAAAATGGTTGATGTGATGTAATTACATTATTTCAGTAGGAATACATGGAGGATTTGCTGTTTGTAATGTGGGATCATAAAACTTGCTTATGCTATCTTTCAAAAGCTGTATGATTTATAACATTTATTAGCTCTTAAATGAGAGCAATTAAATAACAGACACAATTACTGCATGGCAAAAGAAGTATAAAATATTCAAGAAAGGAATAAAAAAATCATTTTCCTGGAGTTCTTTCTAAAATGCCCAGTGAACCAGTGCTTTATAAATAGAGCTTTTACTAAGGAGGAAACTATAGCACAATTTGCAAATTGTGAGCTTTAATGGCTCTCACACTTTTATATATACTTTGTGAAAATAATTTGCATTTAAATTTTGTGGGGGTTCAATTTAGGTACGAGTGACGAGAATTGTGAGATATATTCAAATGCTTCTCAGTAGCCTGAAAACTGCTGTTGGCATTGATGAATGACCATGTATTCAGTTTTAGTCCATATCATATCTGTTTCTGAGATATTTGACAGAGTTATTTTTAAGTATTCCTGCTAAAGTTTTCCAAGATGACAATTTTTTTATGGGTTGCATCTTTCATTTGCAATTTGATCTTCAAAAAATATTTAGGGTGCTGTGTTTGAAAAAATCACTTTTTCCCTGTGTGCTCCCTGTGAACTCCTCTCCCACCCAAATCTTTAATCACAGAATCACAGAATGTTAGGGATTGGAAGGGACCTCGAAAGATCACCTAGTCCAACCACCCTGCCAGAGCAGGACCACCTAGAGCAGGTCACACAGGAACACCTCCAGGCAGGTTTTGAATGTCTCCAGAGAAGGAGACTCCACAACCTCTCTGGACAGCCTGTTCCAGTGCTCTGTCACCCTCACAGTGAAAAAGTTTTTCCTTATGTTAATGTGGAACCTCCCGTGCTCCAGCTTGCACCCGTTGACCCTTGTCCTGTCATTGGCCATCACCGAGAAGAGCCCGGCTCCATCCTCCTGACACTCGCCCTTTATGTATTTATAAACATCAGTGAGGTCACCCCTCACTCTCCTCTTCTCCAAGCTCAAGAGACCCAGCTCCCTCAGCCTTTCGTCAGAAGGGGGATGTTCCACCCCCTTCATCATCTCTGTGGCTCTGTGCTGGACTCTTTCAAGCAGTTTTCTGTCCTTCTTGTACTGAGGGGTCCAGAACTGGACACACTATTCCAGATGCGGTCTCACCAGGGCAGAGGAGAGGGGGAGGAGAACCTCTCTCGACCTCCTGACCACCCCCCTTCTAATCCACCCCAGGATGCCCTTGGCCTTCTTGGCCACGAGGGCACATTGCTGGGTCCTGGTCATCCTGCTGCCCACCAGGACCCCCAGGTCCCTTTCCCCTACGCTACTCACTAATGGCTCAGTCCCCAACCTATACTGGTGCATGGGGTTGTTCAATCCCTTAAAAAAAGTCTTTCCTGTCTTTATAAAAATGGATGGTGAATTGCTGGATCCCCATGGAGTACTTACTTGCAAGTATAGTCCCTTTAAAATCAGTACAGTGAGTATGTAAGTTTACAAACTTGTCCATAGGGACAGAGGCTATGAAACTGAGTGTCCTTTATAGATACAAAGGTTGCACAAAGGCAGCTTGTCAATATTATATGCCTGTATATTAAAAATTAATTTGCTGAAAGAATGCTATAGGCAACAAAAATTGTTCAAATTTAGGAGATAATTTAGCAGAAAAACACTTACTGGGCCCCGTGGTAACTCAGGCAACACATGCAAATATAAATATGAATTATTTCCACATAGAAATTACAGACACGTATAAGGAGTTGAAATGTTAATACTGTCCATAATTTTTATGTATGATCCACAAAATTAAAGAGGAGATGGAAGAGATTTGGTGGTGCTTTCCTTTCATTTATGTAACTTGATAGTCAGGTGCTCCCTTCAGAAAAGGGTTAAAACTCCCTTTTTCCCTAAGTCAGAGAAATGTTTGTTAATCTTAGTTTTATCACTTCACTAATTCAGTCTACGAGACTTGAAGTTGACACTGGGGCACAAGCAAAGCAGGTGGTCTACAAAAAATTGCATGGACATGCTTTGGACTATTCTCTCTCTCTCTCTCTCTCTCTTTGACAGCCCTATCCCTGGTTCTTTACTGAAGGTTAAGTTTGATACCTGGAAAGATGCAAGATGGATATCAGGAAAAATTTCTTTCCTGAAAGAGCGTTTAGGCATTGGAACAGGCTGCCCAGGAGGTGGTGGAGTCACTATCCCTGGAGGTGTTCAAAAGTCGTATAGATGTGGTGCTTAGGCACACAGTTTAGTGGTGGGCTTGGCAGTGTTAGGGTAATGGTTGAACTTGATGATCTTGAAGGTCTTTTTAACCAAAACGATTCTGTGATTCTAGGGAAATATTGGCTTGCAGATAAGATGGGACTGAATTGTCAGGGAGGTTACAGCTTCATACATGAGAACGTTTCATCCATTTGCAATGAGCAGAGGCACTGTTCAGGACTTGTGATGAAAAGTATAGAGGGAATAGTGGACTTCTGTGTAGATGATAGTACAGCCTCAATAGAAAATGGAGAAAGCTGCCCAAACTGCCCAATGGTTCCTGAGTGGCGAGGCCCATTGTCACCAAGCATGGTCACCTGGACCATGGTCTGCCTGGATTATTTCTGAAGTTCGTGTCATAAGTACTTGGGTCTTAATTTACACTGATTTTTGTAAGGCAGAATTGTGAGATGAAAGATGATGTTGACAAGATATCACCGTAGAATTATAGAATGGTTTGAGTCAGAAGGGACCTTAAAGATCATCCAGTCCAACCCCCTGCCATGGGCAGAGACACCTTCCACCAGAAAAGGTTGCTCCAAGCCCCATCCAACCTGGCCTTGAACACTGCCAGGGAGCCGGGGGGGGGTTAGCCACAGCTTCTCTGGGCAACCTCTTCCAGTGTCTCACCACCCTCACAGTAAAGGAATATTCCTAAAATCTAATCTAAATCTACCCACTGTCAGCTTAAAACCATTACGCCTCATCCTATCACTCCACTCCCTGATCAAGACTCCCTCCTCACCTTTCCTGTAGGCCCCCTTTAAGTACTGGAAGGCCCCTAGAAGGTCTCCCCCGACCCTTCTCTTCTCCAGGCTGAACAACCCCAACTCTCTCAGCCTGTCCTCACAGGGGAGGTGCTCCACCCCGCTAGTCATCTGTGTGGCCCTTCTCTGGACTCGCTCGAGCAGGTCCATGTCTTTCTTGTGCTGGGGGCCCCAGAGCTGGATGCAGCACTGCAGGTGGGGTCTCACATGAGTGGAGTTGGGGGGAAGAACCACCTCCCTTGACCTGCTGGCCACGCTTCTTTTGATGCAAGCCAGGATGCAATTGGCTTTCTGGGCTGTGATCACACATTGCTGGCTCATAGTCAGTTTTGACTGAATCTAATCTAGTACCCCATTTTTATGAATCTTTCAGGGCAATCAGAACAACTATGATGAAAATTGCTGCTCCTATTTAATTGCTCGTTTTTTGAAAACTGCAATACCCAGCCCTAAAAATTGGTGTCCCCTGTGAGAAGTAATTCTCACAAAATTAGTTTGGGGGAGAGCAGTAATCTAAAAATAACAATCCTGCATAAGATTCTGTGTCAGATGCCTCATATGCAGAAAATGAAGAGAGTATTTTATCTAATTAAGTATGGAGGTAGGGGAATAACAGAGACAGATTCATATAGAGCTAGTGGGATTTTGCCTGATTAGTTATAAGCATAGTAAAATCAGTGCCATCGCATCAGTCCTGAAGCAATGCCCATTAAAAAGAAAAGATTAAAATTGTATAATTTCCCACTACTCCAATCAAAACTAAAATTTAGGGTCTGCTGGGTAATCAGA